GCCCGGCCGGAGCCTCCGGGCCGAGGAACTTCTTCTAAGATGCGGAAGAGAGTTTCCCCGAAAGCCGACCTTAGGTAGTGACTCCCCGGAGGGAAGAGATGCCGCAGGAAGTTGCATTTCGACCGATGGCCGCCGATGGCGTGAACCCCTCCAGCCGAGGAAGGCGGGGTGCCGGGCCCAGCCCTGGCCTCCGGTGGCGAGTAGTACCGGGGGCAGCGCCTGCGGGGGAGTCGGGGCCGGCACCCAGCAGACACCGGCCTTTTTATCCTGGAGGTCTTAGTCCCACGTACTGTCGCTTTAAAGTCAGATAAAACTTTCTTATTATTTGGTGTTTTTGCCTTCTTCTTGAGTTTGTGTATTTTTGTAAGGGTATTTGACCTGGTGTTTTCATTCCAACAGCTAGAACAAATGTGATTTAGAGCTCTCTAAGTGTTGGGTTTCCCATATCTCCTTTTGTCCCTCTACTAGCAGCGATAATGGGAGTTGTCTGAACCTGCAGTTGAACTTGAACTTGATTTTGTCAAGATTACAGGCTACTTTCTAGTAAGAAAGGTTGAGTGGACTCTACAGAGATTTAAATTTTGACAAAGTTGGGTGTATGTGCATTTAAAAGGAAAAAAAGTCTTATTATTCCACCACTTTACAGAATTTCTGTATAAACGAGTCTTTGGTTACCAAGCTTGTTATAGTAGTTATGTAGTTATATAGAATGAGTGAAAGCAGGGATTACCACTTGGACTTTAAGGAAATGTCTTATTTTAGAAAGGAGCTGTCCCTTAGCTCGATGAAGATGATGTGAAGCTGACTTGGAGACTTGGTCAGAGTTAAAGCAGAACTGCAATCTTACCTGTTGATCTGAAAAAAACACTACAGAGATGGTCTTACATGTACATTTCTGAAAACTAGAAAAAGAAGCAAATAAAATAAAAATGCTCTCTTGCCATCCAGAGATCACTGTTGTACCACCTTCCAGATGATTTCCTGTGCATGTGTGTTGGAATCAGAGTGAGATGGTGCTGTAGATGGAGTTCTGTAAGGAGCTTTCTTCCTGACAGCCAGCTTAGTAAACTTTAATCTCTTGTATTACTGGCACATGTTCAGATCTCCCCATTTGGCCCTCAAATGTGGCAGAATAACTTTGTTCAAACCACTGTCCTCTCAAAAACCATTTATTGCATCTGGTGGTTTCCCTGAAGTAGATTCTTCCTCAGTTTTTGACAGGATATATAGCACTGAGGAGGCAAGCTTTTGGAAATGTAGTTGACTATTTAAACAAAGTTGGAAATCTAATATTTAAATAATTTTTTTTTTTTTGTAATTTGGAAACCTTACATTAGGAGACCACTTTTCTGAAAAATACTTTCTGGAACCCAGGTCCTCTCACTTGGTTTGCGAGCGCTCCATTGCCCAACTGTAACCCCAGTCCCTTTCGTTTATTTTGAGACTGGGTCATTGCCCAGGCTGGCCTCAAACTTGGATCCTCTTGCCCCAGCCTCCCGAGTAGCTGGGATTTCAGGTGGACACACCACTTCGTGGAGCCCAACTGGTGTATTTATCCACAGATGGTTGGAAAAAGATTTGTCACATGTTTGTGTCTGAGGTGGCTGGAACAGCAAACAAGCCATTAGCTGATATGTCCTGGGGCTGGGGCTGGGATGAGGTGGAGCCTGCGACCTGCATGGTTCTGCTTGCTTCTGCGTTTTCCTGTTGCTGAAGCTCTGCCTGACCCTTGAGTATTGCAGTTAGTGGTCTCTCAGAATTTGCATTGTAAACCCAGTTTTCCTGCAGGGTCTATAGAATTGGAAATCCTCTGGAGGAAATTAGGACACCTTAGTCAACACATCTTGCTTTTTGTATATTTAATTGTAGATGGACACAATACCATTATTTGTCTTTAGGTAGTGCTGAGGATTGAACCCAAGGACTCACACGTACTCTACCACTGGGCCACAATCCAGCCCCCACACCTTGCTTTTTATTTAAGTTGGTGTGGAAAAGTTTGACTTGATAAAACAGTGAGAGTTATATCGGTTCTAAACTCTTGTTCAAACCTTTAACTTAGAAAATTGGCATTACGTTTCCCAATTACAACCACGCCCCCCCCCATTTTTGTTGGAAAACTATTTTAATTCCTGCCTGAGACAGGTAAGTTGTTTCCTTGAAAGTTTTAGCCTTCAGTCTATTCTCCATCTTCAAGATCTTGTAGTAGACTCTGAATGTGTATTTAACATTTAGTGCTGGGGAGGCAGCTCAACGGAGAGAGCACTTGGTTAGCATGTCGCAGGTCCTGGGTCTGGTTGCCAGAATTGTAAAAAACAAAAACCAAAAAGGTGAATAATTATTATGTTATTATCTCAATAGAATATAGTCTGTTATTTGTGAAAGAGTCTGTTATTTGTGTACTCTTTTGGGGGGACCCTGGGATTGAACCCAGGGTACTCTACCACTGAGTTGCAACCCCCCCCTTTTCTGAGATTGGCTTCGAATTTGTGATTCTCTTGCCCCAGCCTCCTGAATTGATGAGATTATAGGCAATTCACTGGTGCATCTGGCTTCTGGTGTACTTTTAATGCAAAAATTTTGGTCTGGCCTGTAAGCCCAGTGGCTTAGGAGGGTGAGACAAGTTCAAGGCCACTAAGCAACTCAGTGAGACCCTGTCTCTAAATAAAATACAAAATAGGATAGGGTCGGGGGTGTGGCAGTTCAATCCCTAT